TGTGTGAGTATACGGGGAGAAGATATGATAAGTGTTCTCAATTTCTGAGCAAATGGTATGTTTGTTGTGTTTGTTTGTGTGTGTGTGTGTGGGGGGGGGGGCTGCTTGCGTTTTGGAATGTGTGCCGTGGTGTGAGGGAATGAAATGTTTATGGTTTTAAGAAGTTTCCATCAACTCCTGGCTATGTTGTCTTTTTCATCTTTTGATGGCGGTTGAAAGGTGATACTGGTAGGTCTTTCGTCTGTTCTTCCCCTTTATTGTTTTTGTCTATCTGTCTTCTTTTTGTCCTGGAGGAAACGTCCATTATTATGTTCATGTGCATCTATATACACATATTCCTTGTATGGGTGGCTGGCGGGTACTTTGGTGTGGTTTTCTCCTTTTTTTCCTATCAAACCTCTGTCGTCCTTATCTCTCTTTCATTTCTTTGAAAGTTACTCTCTTTTAGTACCTCTACTCTAGGGTACCTAATGGCTTATTTGTGTTGCAAGTGGCGTACAACACTTACTAAAACTGAAAACTAAAACATTCTTTTCCGTACACAAGTACTGTACAATATAGCAACTATTATATCACTAAAAACATCTTCCTTCTTCGTCTTGTATTTTACGAGTTCCTTAGTGGACAGTGGGCAGACCTATGTCTGTCCCATGGCCCTCAGTAGCTGACACAAGGATCAAGGGTGGGGTATAGTTACCGTCTGGGTAATAGCTAGTCTTAACGGCCAGGTTCTTGTGACCGATTGTCGTTTGTAAGGAGACATCTCCGGTTTATGAGCGTGCAACTTTGGTTACAGTGGTCACATCCGTGAATGTCTTGGGGGGGGGGGGGGGGGGGGGGGGGGGGGGGGGGGGGGGAGGGGGGAGGGAGAAATCAACACAGGAAAGGCGAATACATTGATAGCTATTGAAAGGAAGGGAAACGCAGCTGCATTGAGTGTTCTGGATTTGTTAGTTCGTTTCTTTACGACACTATATTTTGTCTGCCGGCCATTCCCGTTCAAACATAACTATTGCTGTCACTACCATTTCGCCAGGTATTTCACTAACAGCTTGCTTGGGGTATGAAGGGGTGGCTCTCGGGAAGTAACAATGGCTTATCAATTGGTACGTTGTGTGGCTGTTCTATCGGTTTGTTTGTTTTGGAGTGCCGTTAGTCTAGCTGGTAGTAGTTTTGACTGTAACATGGGCAAACGTACTGATCGGGCATCCGTTGAATGGTTAGAGGGATGAAGTTAACGGTTCTAATTCTTTAATATTTCTGAGTGCCTAGCTTGTCTTTTTACCAGCTTTGTTAAAGGGACCGTAACATGGGCGTCAGTTGATTCCCAGTACAGTTTTCACAGCTATCACTCACTTTCACTCACTCGTCCCTCGACTTGAGGGCAGAAGATATCGATATTTTTCTTCTTGTTTTTCTGTCTGTCGTCCTGAATAGTGGCAATGAAAAAATGTCATTTCCAAACATTTTAAAGCACAAACTTTCGATTTCTTCTGGGTCTTTGCCTGAAGTCCCCACCGGACTTGCTGGGGGCCTATGCTTAAGAACTTTTTTTTTTAATCTTTTTTTTTTTAGATGCTTTCGAACTTGAACTCCTTGACACGATACCAGATGATACAGTCTGGAAACCAAATTCAATGATTAGAGCGCTTTTGGGCGCTCCTATGTTGAATGCTGGTTTTGTCGGCATAACAGTTTGTCACTGTATGGAAACTCAGGTGATTAAAACTGATTCTGTGATTTAGCATTTCGTAGAAAAAAAAAATATTTAGTCCATTGCCATATTTTCAGCGCCACTACGTCCCGCGCTCTCTCAGTCCTCCCAGCTCCGGCACTCAACATGATCTCTTCTAGTGTCACTCGTTGCCCCGCCGTGAGCCCAGCTATACAGTTTTCTCCTTTGATAAGTTTTGTCTTGCATGCATTTTAAAATCTGAGAATACTGAAACCCAAATATGGTTTTTACTTTTGAGGTTCTAGCCTTTCCACGGGCCCAGATCAGGATTCATTTTTTAATGGTTGAAGGAAAATTAGTTAAAATTGAATGGCACGCTTAAGTCACAGACTTATCAATGCCGTATTGGCACAGGTTACTGGTTTAGAAATCATTTGCTAGTAACCCTGCTCTCAAATCCATATTCAAAACTGATTGACAGGTGTGTTGAACAACAATTCAAATATTAAAAAAACACACACCTCATTTCATCAATGCTGTTCATCTTCACGTATGCATCCCCAATCCATTACACACGCACACACACACACACACACACACACACACTCTGAGTCTCTCTCTCTCTCTCTCTCTCTCTCTCTCTCTCTCTCACACACACACACACACACACACACACACATACACACACAGGCGCTCACACCCACACACACATACAAACTCACACACACGCATTACGTTCATCCGTGCCACGACACACACAACAATGAGTCATTGTTTTGTGCCACTGTCACTGACTGACTGCTGATTCGCTGTAAGTATTGTTGTCTGCTTCCCAATAATATTCCTTGGCCAGTCAAGCGTGGGAAAAAGTAACACAAACAGGTGTGAAAAGCTGACATAATTGTTGTTACGACATCACATAGGTAATTATTATTCACTAACTCGTCAGGCGCATACTAGCTGCGCATACGAGCGTTGTCATCTTGTTTTTTGGCATTATGGATATCATTTGGTGTAGTATTATCTCGATTACTGACATGTATTTGACGAGTTGTTGCTATGTTTGGTAGAAGTGTACTGTAACAAGATATGTCATTATGTTTTTTGAAATTATTTTTCACGTAATAAAATAATAAAACTTTTTACCTATGTACTCTTAAGTTTTCTAAGATTAATGGCAAATTTGCACTGGTCCCAGCAGAAGTCTATGGGCCTGAATCTTCGTCACCCTTTCGATCATGTTATTATTGTCGGCGGAGCTTGTTTGTGAGGGGAGGGGGGCGATTGGAATGCACGTTTTAACGCTGAGCGGCTAATTATACGGGTGGTGAAATATTATACTACTTATAATATCGCCTTTAAGTTTTCCTATCTCATGCTCTGATTCAAGAAAAAACAAAAATGAAAACACCCCCCCCCCAAAAAAAAAACAACAACAAAC